ACATACCCATACACAGATACATACATGCATAACTTTAAAAAATAAAATAAACAAGACTAAGGTAGACTAATCTTTATTAGATTAGATTTCTAGGATAAATTGTTGACTGAAACAGCACAAGATGAACAGCATACAGATAATAATGTATTTTTATGTAATTACATTTGCCCAAATCATATCTCAAAATAATATATATACATATATATATTTATAGGTACATATGAATAAGCAGGTTTTAAAGGATTTGCAACATCACATTTAAAACAAAATCAATCCTAGCCCCCGAGAGGCAGAGGCAGGCAGATCTCCCAATTCGAGGCCAGCCTGGTCTACATAGTGAGTTGCCGTATAGCTATGGCTACACAGAGAATTGTTAACTATATGTTATATTGGGGGTGGGGATTATTCAATTCACCCATTCTAGCTCCCAAATAAATGACATAGACACTCACTAGATTTATTAATAAGCTTTAGGCTCTGTAACTGGGCATATAATCCATTAATACTAATCCTCTAAGCTAGTCTTGCTATTTCCCAGCTCTGGGCCTCAAGTTACTTGCCATATTGGTCCTTCCTGAGCTGTTTCCGCTGTCAGGTTCAGTCCTTAATCACCACATCACTTCTCTACCTCTACTTCTTTCTCCTGTCTGTCCCTCTCGATTCCTACCTGAGATCCCAAGACCATGAATGGAAGTTCCACCTACCTCTTGCCAACTATAGGTTGTTCAGCTTCTTTATTAACCAGTCAGAGATAATTGGGGAGCAAAGTTTACACATTGATTAATGAACGTGACACAATGCCCACATCTGGATGGCAACCAGATCTTGGGGCCCAGAATTCAGCATCTGAATGCACAGTAACCAGACCAACCCCCAACAGAGAAACCCTGTCTTGAAAAGCCAAACCAAAATAAATTAAAAAATAAATTAAATAAAGCAGAAGCCAGACATAGTGTCACATGACTTTAATCCCAGGACTCAAGAGGCAGAGGCAGGTTTATATCTGCGAGTTTGAGGCTTCCGAGGGAACAGTGACTAGACCCAGTTTTAAAAAAAAAAAAAAAAAAAAAAAAAGATCTGAAAGGAGGCTAAGAAAAATATGTTGAGGTGGCAGGCATGTTCAGCAGTTAAGAGCACTGCTTACTATGGCAGAGGACACAGAATCTGTTCCCAACACTCACGTCGGCCAGTCCACAACTGCCTCTAACTCCGGTTTCCGGGCTCTGATGCTCTCTTCTGCATCCCCTGCTGCGGGCAGAGCACATGTGTGCACATATATGCAGGCAAACATTCAGTCACATAAAAATAAGTAAGTCTTATTTTTTAACCTTATTTTTAAAAAGTAGATGTTGGCCCTACTTCTAATATTTTAAGGCTTTACTTAGAAGGAAGATGTGTTCATGTGCCACTAATGTAACTGGCAACTGTTTGGTTTTGGTATTGTACCTAGGGCCTCATGAATGCTGGACAGGCCCCCTATAGCTGAGCCACACCCTCAGCCACCAGGCACACTGCATTTAAAGCAAAGACATGGACATGTTCTGATTTCAGGTGTGCCATGTTCTAAAATTGTTCCCTAGGAAGGAGTTTGCCTCTCTGTCTCGGGGTTAGGCTTGGTCATGTGTCTGCCGTTGGCCATGTGGGCAGGAGCCATGCATGCCCCTCAGTGAAGAGGTTTGGACAGAGGAGTGAGGATTACAATATTCTTTCTTTTGCCACAAGACCAAAGATGTTTGGCCTAGAGCCTGCCCCTTACGCTATTAGGGTGTCTGGGGAGAGGGGAAGGCTCCTCTTTTATCTATGAAGGCAATGCAATGTGAGGAATAGATGATGGCTGTCACAGCCCTGGGGACAGAGGACAGTTAGTACAACCTGACCTCTCTTTGCTAGCCTAGGGATAAGCACTGGAAGGGAACAAAGAGATAAGAGCCAGGGAGTCTTGTTTGCCACAGATGGTCAAGGTCAAATTAGATGAAAAAAGCAGCAGAGACTAATTTGACTCATTAAATATGTTCCAAAGTTGTCCTCCAGTTGTTTGCTGGCCAAAGAAATCAATGTGGTGGGCTTGGAATACAACTCAGCAGGTCAAGTGCTAGCCCTGGGTTTGGTTCCCATCACCATAGAACTTGGATATGGTAATACATACCTGTAATCTCTGTTTAAGCCAGGAGGACTAGAAGTTCAAGGCCCTCCTTGGCTATGTAACAAGTTCAAGGCCAGGCTAGGACACATGAAACTCTGTCTGGGGGGTGGAGGAGGAAGCAGCTTGGGGTGCAGTTCTCTGTCCTTTATCAGATGGTTATGGCCAGAGACAGGGCTTTCTAAAGGAGCACTGGACATTTACTGAGAACCTCTCCCACCCCCACCAACCCCAAGTGTCTGGGCCTAAAAGTATGTGGGTTCCTACTTTTCCTAAGAGCTATCACCTGGCATCCAAAGGAGCTGCTCTGCTGGCCAAAGCCGTTTAGTCTTGAAGAAGGCTATATACAGTGCAGGGAGCCCAGGACACACAGAGCAAAAATACTGGATGTTTTCAGCCTCAGGTCACATAGAAACTGACATCTCTGTATGGGGAATAACTCAAGTAAGATGACAGGCTTGGTGTCTCCTTTATATGAACGATAGGAAAAAAAAAGGACTTCGTTTCTGGGCTAACAGGCCGTGGGTTACAATCAAAAGTTTTCCTGTCAGGGACCACGACCTACAGTGTGGGGGACCACATAACTTGGGTCTTCAATCAACCAGCTGGCTTTGAGCTGGACTGGGAGGAATTGAGAAATTAGTGTTATTAATCTTTCAGCCTTAGCTCCCTCATCTTAAAGGTGGGTTTGAGAATATTGGCAACAATGGCTCACCTCTGTCACCCCAGCAATGGGGATGCTGAGGCAGAAGGATCACTATAACCACACTCAAGCTCAGCTTGGGCTACACAGTGAGTTTTAGGCTACTTTAGGCTATAGAGCATGAATCCCTCTCCCCCAAATGATATCCACTTTGAAGTGAAACATGAAGCAAGGATCACCATGAATGCAAGGGCAGCCTGGGCTACATGGTGAGACCCAGTCTTAAACTATAAGAAAAAAAAATAAAGAAAGAAAAGAAAGAAAGATAAACGTACTCACTCATGCAAAGAACAAAGAGGTGCAGTGCTCTGCACAGGTGGAGTGGGCCTTCATGAATATGTTGCAGGGATGGCAGAAATGAAGGGGTAAACAGAAAGGTATGCAGGTTTACTCCTGGGGTCCCCAGCCAGTTACTCAGGTAAAACGTCCTTTGTCTCTCCCTTGATCTACAGAAGGAAGAAGCTGCGGAACTGCAACCTCAGCCCTGAGATGTCCCCAGCCATTCCCACCAGGCCTGGTCTTTAGTAGCTTATCAGTTTACCACCTTCCAGGAGAAGAGGCCAACAGGCATCCATGCAGAAGGTCAGTCTACACCCCTTATGCCTCCAGTGGCTGGAGTAACACAGAACCCCCTCCAGGCTGAAGACCTGCCCAGCCTCCACTCAGGGGCCTGTGTCAGAGATGACCATGCTTCCTGGATTCCATTGCTTCCTACAATATATGTTCTCAGTGGCTAGTTCCTATTTTTCTACCAAAGCCACCTGCTGGCCAGCTGTGAATGGCTCAAGAGGGTCTGGATTCCTCTGTGAGTGGACTTGGATGCTGGCATTTGGAAGCTACTGGTCAGCAAGGAACAAATCCTCCTAAAGGCAGGAGGACTATGTGGTCATCTCTTTCAAAGGAACTCCTAAGGGGCAGTTGGTCACCTTGGCTCTGGCATCTCTTACCGCTTCCATGAAATTTGATTCATTTAGGTCTCTATTTTACTTCCATGCAAGAGTGAATATTAATGTCCACCCAACACCTATCTAGCCTTCGACTAGGAAGTATTCTTTCTTCTCCCACTCTGACCTCTGACTTAGTCCAAATACCAGGGAGGCTGTTCCATACTCTACTCTTCAAGGATAGCATAGAGCTTGGACTGAACGATCGGAAGTTTCTATTCCCTTGGTTGTAACCGCCACACACAGATCAGAAAACCAGTAGAAGTGGGGTAAACTGCTATGAAATTTTTGTTTGAGACTACTGGGGAAAATGTCATAGCTTTTAAAGAACTTAGCAGGGAATTGTTCGGGGTCACCACATAGAGAGATGAAGACATCAGCAAGGAGTAGGGGAGGGCAGAACCTGGAGAAGGTAAGCTAGTGGTCCTATCTGAGTCCCCACATCAGACCACACCTGACTCATACCTTATTTTCACTGATACATATGCCAATCCACTTTACATCTCTGTGAGACAATATGCATTGATTCTTTGTCTTAGAACAAATAGTTTGCAGTAACACAACTATTCTCTTGGCTCTGTCTAGAATTCCCAGTGCGAATGTGGTCTGAGTTTGCGTGAACACAGCTTCTGTCCTGCTCTGGTCATTCAATATTTATGATGCTGCTTTAGGGCCATTTGTTGGGAACTCCACTCCAACACTGGAACTTCTAAGCTCTCCTAGACAGGCAACTCAGATCATCTTCTTCACCCGTTTCCATCTAGGAGCCAAGTACCATGGGTAATCTGTTTCCACTGTCTCATAACTTTCAGCTCAAGCAAGCTGGGTAGTAAGAGAGTGTCACCCCCTACCCCCAATGGACTTGGTCATGAGAGCTCTACCTACACTCTGAGCCACACTGGCAAAGCTCACCAAGACTGCCACACAACACAGCTATGTTTTTCAAGGCCAAGTCATCGAGATGCAGCTACTGTGCAGTCTCAGCCTAGACAGCCTGACTTCTAGCTAAGGGGATTATGGACAGGCTTCATGAACATATTCAGTCTCTCAAATGGATGCTGAAAACTGTCAGCCCAGATTTTCCCCAATAGTGAACAAGGACAGAGAGCTTCACTCCATCCCGCTCAGCCTGCCTCCTCTCTAGTCATCATAAAGAGCACACACTAGAACCCAGACCTGGTTGGCAGAGCACTCCCTCAGGAAGGAATGAGGGTCAAAACCTTTTAATAAACTGGGTAACTACATCCATAATTCTTGAGGAGCAAGGCAAGGTCAGGAAGCCAAAGTCGAGGGTGTTAAGCGCTCCATGGAAACCATCCTCCACATGATGCCATGTGACAGGCACCCCCAGGTCTTCCAGCCTCTTCTTGTACAGGAGTGAATGGTCTCGGAGAAGGTCATACTCACAGCTCACAATGCAAGTTTCCGGGAGCCGAGACACTATGTCGTCTTCTGCAAGGAGGGGTGAACAGACATTGTCCATTGCGGTGTTTGTTTCCCTGTAAGCATCTTCGTTCACAGGCCCCAGAGGTATGGGTTGGTAGCCTCGCTTCTTAAACCTCTCTGGGATGTTTTCTGAGCCCAACCACTTTCTGAATTTCTTCCAGACTTCTGGAGGGAGATGCATACGATTCTTGACCACGCTTTTCCAGGAAGGGCTCACGCCTAGGTGACAACACCAGCAGTAAAAGGCCAGATCCCAGGTGAGCAGCGGTATGTGGGCATTCTGTTGATAAGAAGGGCTCTGAAAATCTACGCTTTGCAGTGTGGAGTAGATCAAAATCTGAGCCCGGATCCGGGGGAGATCTGTTTGGTTCAAAAATATTTGACAAATCACAGCTGCTGCATTCCCTCCTACGCTGTCCCCACAGACCACAACTCGATCTGGATCCACGCCATACACATTCAAGGATTTCAGGAAGTGCGTGGTGGCCACCACACAGTCGTCTTTCATCACTGGGTACTTGTACATGGGAGATTTTCTGTATCTAGAGAGGGATCAAGGACCACAGGTTACGTTCAATGCTCAGCCAAGCCCAAGTACCCTCATCCAGCACCTCATATCTCAAAACCCCCTTTGAAGCCTGAATAGGAGGATAGGCAAGGGGCCAAACATACAGTACTTATGAAGCCCTCACACCTGCTGCTAATTGCCATTCCACTTGAGAATGGATGTGATATTGTTTAGATGTTCAAGCAGTCATACAGGGCACTGGTGACTTCCGCAGAGAAAGCATAAGACATCTGCCATGGGAAGGGCAGTTAGACCTAGCAAACTCTTCCAACCAAAGGTGAAGTGCATGGCCATTCCCATTAGCCTCCAAATGACAGGGTTAGATGATGTCTTTACCCACAATACTTCATGCACCAAGGAAGGGGATCCAGTTCACTGTCCCTCTCTCCTCCCTCCCTTGCTTCTCACTATTGGGTCCTCACAACCCAGCCCTCCTTCATTTTCCTCTCCAATTCTGTTGGCTTCAGGTTCAACCTTCAGACAGGCTATCTGCCTGTATATTCCCATGATCCCCTTGCTCACCCCACTGACACGACGACAGAGCCACAGTCCTTGGACAAACGCAAGCATACATTGTGGTGGGTTCCTGGAAAACAAAAGGGAATTTCACACTTACTAGGACATTTTCCTTTCTCCAGCCTCTGCGGCCATTCTCTTCTTGTAAGCAGAGCACCTGAGTTAGCTGAGCAGATCATGAAATAGCTTCTGGCTATAAATATCCTTCCAACTTTTCACTGCTTTGCTTCTGTGATCTGCAAGGACGACAGTTCCCAAGATGCCCCTGCACTCCACCACTTACCAAACGTGAGTAGAGCACAGTGGCTTGATAAATTCTCACATCAATTAATGAAGAGGTCATACCACTACATAATGTACCGCCAAAGTGGTCTGGGCCTACTAATTGCCCTGGCTTCTCTTGGTCCTAACAGTAGACTGTCTACCAGGAGAAACGATCATTCTTTTTTTTTTTTTAATATTTATTTTACTTTTACTTTTGTGTATGTATTATACACACATGTGTGAACCTTCCTCAAAGACTGGAAGGAGAAGCTAGATCCTCTGGAGCTAGAGTTGCAGGCAGTTGTATGCTGCCCTACATGGGTGCTAGGAACCAAAGTTGTGTCCTCTGGAAGAGCAGCAAGTGCTGCTAACTACTGATCCATCTCTCTAGCCCCCACAGAATGACCATTCTTTCAAGCCCATTTAGCAGGGTGACAGGGGACTTGAAGATGCCAGAATAAAGGCTCTTTCTTACTCAAGCTCCCCAGGATGGTTCCACCACCGTGGAAGAAGATGATGCCAGGCCTTGGGATGGTGGAGGGTTCCTTGGGCTTGTACAGCTTCACAGGGATTGTCCCAAAGTGAAGATTTGTGACCACAACATCAGGATCTCTCTTGAGTGGCTTCAGATCATGCAGGAAGCTGGCAAACTGGGGTGCATAACACAGTCCCAACTTCTCAAAGATCATCCCCTGTCAGAGGAGAGGCAACGGGTTGAGAAGGATTGTGCTGAGTCAGCTTCGAATGAAGCCTGGAACCGGTTGGCCACATCTACCCTCCCCAAGTGCCAAGGAGGATCTTGGGAAATATTGATCAGGCTGGACCACAGATCTCCTGCTCTCTCCCCCTCTCTCAGCATCTTCATGAGGCACCTGCGGTTAAAGCCGCTCTTATCCAGGCAGGCCCATAAGGCTTCACCATCAGACCCACCCCTCTTCCTAGACCTTTGCATGCCAGACAGGACAAACCAGGCTTGTGGCCAACCCTTGAGGCTCCCTTTGAAGACTCCTGCCCTATATGGGGTTTGGGCATTGTCTTCTCTCCAAGGAAGACGGCCCGGATCTCCCAAATGTTTTAAAGAAGAGAAAGGTATGCTTTGTTTTGTTTTTTAAAAAATTCTTTGCATGGCATCTGCTGAAATGTTTTTTTTTTTTTTTTTTGAAAACATGTGATGTGTAAGGTTTTTTTCTTTAGGAAAATTAAGAATGAGGGAGGGTGGGAAAATATGTGTGTTTGGTTGGGGTCAGTGATGTCAAGGCAGGTGGTGGCACAGGAGGCTTTGTTAGGTTATTGTGTTATCCATTTCTTTCTTTTTCTTTTCTTTTTTTGTTTTTTTTGAGACAAGGTTTCTCTGTAGACCAGGCTAGCCCTGAGCTCAGTGATCCAACCTGTTTCTGCCTCCTGAGTTCTGGGATTAAAGGTGCCCATGCCCAGCAAAGATTTGCTTATTATTTTATGTAAATGAGTGCTCTATTTGCCTGTATACCTGCATCGGATCTCATTACAGATGGTTGTGAGGTACCATGTGGTTGCCGGGAATTGAATTTAGGGCTTCCGGAAGCGCAGACAGTGCTTTTAACCTCTGAGTCGTCTCTCCAGCCCTATTGTGTTATCTTTGAGATCTAGCTAAAGGTTTTCAATATAAATATAAGAATATTAAGATAAATATATAAATAAATATCATTCTTTATCCACAGACCAGCGCCTAGCTCAGCTGTCATCAGAGAAGCATTCTCCTGAAGAAGATGGGAAGAAATACAGAGATCCACAACTGGACAATGAGCAGAGGGTGAGGAACCTTGGAGTAATCAGTTCTAAGTGATGCATCTCCATTAAAATCCTCCCCTAAGAGCTCAGGAGGAAGATTGTAAGAGCCAGTGAGGACGGATGACACGAAGGAAACTGTGTCTTCCAGGCAGAAGGGAATTGGCACATGTATGCACTCTCAGAGACTGTGGCAGCTGGCACACATGTTCTGGGCCCAGGTTCTCAAGCTTGATCAGTAATGCTTGACAGATGGCACTATCTCCCGGCACCACAGAACATCCTTTAGAATGTGTAACAAATACACGGAACCCATCCAGGAAGGCAGTTTTACATGAATATAGCTCTCAGACAAGTAAGGCACAATGTAGCAATGCACACACACGAACAAACAAGCATCGGCTGCCATGTGATATTCCCCTGGATGAGGAGACCAGAAGTTCCCAAGTCTTTAGCAGATGAAGTAATCAGGTAGTCAACATCCTCCCTCCCCCGCCCCCGTGATTAATTTTGTGATCCGGTTACAGTTCTGCCCTGGGGACTGTGCTAACCGCCAGGCTCCAATGGCAGGAGACGCTACAATCAGAGGTTAGCAGTGAAAATATGGTTATTTGTCCCTAGTCCATCAAAGCAATGGGCCCCTTGCATTCTGACCCTTGAGTAAGCAGTGCTGGTCTCCCCTTGCTGCCTTGCTATGCCTTCCTCCTGGATCTGGCCTCTGCCGGAAGCTATTTGTAGCTAGAGTCCTAGTGAGCTTGGTTGGCCAGCCCCCTGCTTCTGTGACCATTGACTACAAGTTCTCTGGAGGCAGACTCTACCTAGGGCTTTTTCTTTCACCCATTCCTGAGCTCAGATGCTGGGCCGTGACACACAGCTGTTGCTTGATGCACCACTACAGAAAGAATCAACAGCGACAGTGCGTGACATGTAAGGAGGGCTTACCCTACGCCAGATGTTGCAATACAACCTCTGGATAGCTCAGCTCTGGCGATCCTCGAGAAATGCCAGGCAGTAGGGGTTGCATGGTTTCCTATTTAGCAGACAAGGAAACTGAGCCATGGTAACTAGGAACTTGAACTGTAGACTACAAAAGAAAATGCCAGGGGAAACCTACAGTCTAGTCAGGCCATTTGCAAAAACAGGCTGGAGGCACTGTTTTATGTCTGGTACATTTGATTTAGCATAATGCTCTCCAGTTCCACAAATTTTCCTAAATAAATGTTTTTCTTGTTTGTTTGTTTTTTATGTTTGAGTAAAATTCCATCTCAGCACTCAAGAGGTAGAAGCAGAACTCAAGAGAGGCAGAACTCTCTTGAGTTTAAGGCAAGCCTGGTCTACATAGTGAGACCCTGCCTCATTTTTTTCCCCCACTGTGTGTTTTTCTATTGTGTATTTTCTTCATCTATTCATCTGTTGATGGATGTACAGGGTGATTTCATTTCCTGGCTATTGTGAATAGAACAGCAGTGAGCATAGATTCTCGAATGTCTCTGTGATAGGATATAAAGTCCTTGGGTGTCAGAGTAAGGGAGATGATCCAGATTCAGAAAGACAAAAACCACATTCTTATATCTGGACTCTAGCTTATCATTTTATACGTGCGTGTAAAAGTGGTTCCTAGTGTGTCTATGAGCTATTAAATAGGACAGAGGCCATGTGACTGGGGAAAGGAGGTTAAACATGGGAGACAGAAGAGTAAAACCCATGAGATATGACGGTAGAAATGAGGTTATAGGGGTAGAAGAATGCCTGAGAGCAGGTTAGGGGAAGAATCTACAAAAAAAAAAAAAAAAAAAAAATCTCTGTAAATGCTGTTATGAAAACCTAATACTTTGCATAACAATTGTTTAAATAATAGATATTTTTGCCATTTATTTATTTATCTATCTATTTATTTATTTATTTATTTTGAGATAGTGTTTCTTTTTATATCCTTGGCTGTCCTGGAACTCATTATGTGGGTCTGGCTGGCCTCAAACTCACAGAGATCCATCTGCTTCTACCTCCCAAGTGATGGGATCAAAGGCATGTGCCACCATGACTGGTCTTAAAAAAATAGTTTTTTTAAAAAGACAACAAAAGATCTGATAAAGTTATGTTCTATGGAGCTCAGCAGTTTGGAGCAATGGCTGCTTTTCCAGAGGACCCAGATTCAATTCCCACCCTGGTGGGTTACAGCCATCTGTAACTCTAGTTCCAGAGGGATCTAATGCCCTCTTCTGGCCTCTGTAGGCACTGCACACACATGGTGAACAGACATGTACACAGACAAAATACATAAATAAATAAATAAATAAATAAATAAATAAATAAATAAATAACCCTTTTTTGTTTGTTTATTTTTGTTTTCAGAGATAAGGTTTCTCTGTATAACAGTCCTGGCTGTCCTGGAACTCACTTTGTAGACCAGGCTGACCTTGAACTCACAGAGATCAGCCTGTCTCTGCTTCTCGAGTGCTGGGATTAAAGCATGATACCACCCGGCTCCATAAATAAATCTTAATTTTTTAAAAAAGACTTTCTTATTTATACAGTACTCTTTGTGCACATATGTGCCAGATCTTATTATAGATGGTTATGAGCCACTAGGTTGTTGGGAATTGAACTCAAGACCCTTGAGAGAGCAGACAGTGCTCTTTACTACTGAGCCATCTCTCCAGCCCCAAATCTTTTTTTTTTAAAGGTGTGTTTTATGGTTCTGCTCATGTCTTGAGCCAATTTAACGATTTGCTTTCTGACTCTAGCTAGTACGTGTGTAACCACTGGAGCTCAAAAAATGCATCCCTACCTTTAGCAAAGTACTGAGGGCCAACGAGTTGAAACTGTCTTTTTCCTCTGTGTTAACTGAGCACCATAGTTTGCACATTCCATGTTCGTCAGAGGCCCTGGTGGAAAAGGACTTACAGTGATGCTGTTGATAGGTGGAAGAGCCTTTGGGAAGAAAGGCTTAGTGGGAGGTCACTGGGGACATAGGCTGATGGGGAAAGGCAGGGTATAAGGACAGACACTAAGCCAGGAGGTGGTGGCGCACACCTTTAATCTCAGTACTCAATAGGCAGAGGCAGGCAGATCTCTGAGTTTGAGGTCAGGCTGACTAACCTACAGAGTAAGTTCTAGACAGCCAGGGCCACACAGAGCAACACTGTCTTGAAACAAACAAACAAACAAACAAAAAACAAAATAAAAAAACAATAACAAAACCTACCAAACAAATAAAAAAGATCAAAGTCTAATGATTCACAAACTCTAAAATATGTATGATAAATACAAAATGAATAAAAAACAAAGAAAAAATAAGGCACCACAGAACCTCAGCTCTTCTTCTTTTGTTCCCTGGGATGTGACCAGTTTTCCTCAGCCACATGCTCTCTCTCCCAACACAGTAAGACCAACATCACAAGTTACAACCTCAAAAACCATGAGCCTAAGTAAACCTTTTTGCTCTGTAAATCCACTGTCTCAGTTATTTTGTTACAATAATGGAAACATCCAGAAAGCAAACATTCTTGGAATAGTGGGTAGTATTGAAGCATCCAGTATCAGATTTGTGCTAACTTCTGTCCTCAGACATCAGGGTAAGGGGATAAGCAAAAGTAAACTCACCCAGGTCATTGTCAGCTGTAGAAGGCAACTGAGGATTCGAAGCCGCACAGGGTGAGTGATGCCTTTAGGGATGTGTTCTGTCCAAAAGTTTCTACAGATCACCCACAGCAGGAGCCCCACGGAGAACACAGCAATGGCACCTACAAAGAGTGTCAGAGCCAGAACCACCATGCTGCTTCCACCTCAGAGAAGGCCAAGTGTCATAGGTGAGTGCCACAGGCAATGGAAGACACTGCAGATCAGCAGGCCTCTTATACATCACCAGCTTCCTTCTCCACCTCCTTGTTTCCTGCAAACACTGGCCCAGCCCAGGCAAGGAGTCACAGAGGGCGTGGCCTGGTTCCAGGCAGAGGAGAAAGTGGTTCCTATATTCTCATTCAGATGGGAAAAGATCTCAGGGGTTCCTACTTAAACTCTGGCATTGACTAGATGCAGCATTGGGTAAGCCACACAGTTGCTGTAGTCATTAGACACTTGCCCTCAGACCTCATTGCACATACCCTAATTCTCACCTGACAACACCTCCTATTCCTTAACTAGATGAGAAAACCTTAGGGCATTTGCACTTGCTGTTTCTCTGGGCAACAGCTGACACTCCCCGCCCCCACCCCACATACCAGATGCAAACTGGGCTCAGTTCTTCCTCTCCTTCCTGGAGCTGCTCAAATGCTGCCTTCTGCCTGGCTAGCGCTTCCAAATGTCATATTTCACTACCAACAGCCTGATCCTGTCCCACAACACTAAATTCTTGTCTGCGACTTTTATTATCAACCAAGATGTCTGTCCCTGGACTGTAGAACACTCCTTCGGAATACGGAAATGTTTACGTTGTTGTTTGAAGATTGCTTTATTTTTATCTCATGTGTCTGGGCCTCTTGCCTGCATGTGTGTCTGTGTATCATTCCTGCCTAGCGTGCTGGATGCCGTAAAACATGTCAGATCCACTGGAATGGAGTTACAGATGCTTGTGAGCTACTGAGTGGGTGCTAGGAATTGAACCCAGGAGAGCCAGTGCTCTTAACTACCAAGCAATCTCTTCATCCCTCAGCTCTGATTTTATGCCTAGAGGCTGAATCAGGGTCTGGTTCTTTGTCAGGACTGTGCAAATATCCACCTAACCAAGGGATTGCTAAACAGGTTTTTCCTCTCCATTGGAAAACACAGAAGCTTGAGCATGCTTTCTTTCCAGGTCAGGTCAGAGGCTAAGGCAGTTTTTACAGCTTTTCCTATATAATCAAGCTCATGGGAACATGGGTCCTGTTTGCTGCCACCCTGTGATGGTTGGCTCTAATTGTCAAGTTATCACAACCTAGAACAGCCTGGGAAGAAAGTCTTCACGAGGAATTGTTCACATTGCGTCAGCCTGTGGGCATGGTCTTAATCAAATTACTTGATGTGAAAAGACCCAGACCATTGTGGGCAGCACCATTCTGTAGGCAGGAGGTCCTGCCCTGTGTAAGAACAGAGAAATGGAGATGTGTGTACTGTAAGCAGGCAGCCAAGTATGCGTGCGTTAATTTCTCTGTGCTCTTGCCTGTAGGGTGATGTGATAATCTTTGATTTTCCTACAATGATGAACTGTAACCTGGAATTATGAACCGAAGTAGCCCACATCTCCCTAAGGCTGTTTTTCCATCAGGATATTTTATTACAGCTACCAAAATGAAACGAGCACCATTCTCCAACCTGGTAATAGAACATAAGCTTTCAAACAAAGGGATTTGACCTCTCAAGAGACATTGGGCCAATGCTTGGAGAACGTGTGTGACAGCTGAGCTGGATACCGGCATCTCACGGACAGGTGCAAGAGATGTTACTACACATCTCTGCACCCATTTGGCCCTTTCAACACATGAGGGTCTGGGCCAACGTGTCAACACAGCCGAGGTTAAGAAATTCTGAATCGGGGCTCTTGAAGCTGAATGTTGGGTCAGCTCAGTGCCAGTATCCTAAGAAGGAGAAAGTTAATGACAGTTACTATATTTTTCCATGAGGAAAGATTTAGTGCGCTAAACACATCAGCAAGTGCCAAGCATTAGTATGAGTGTGTTATGCTACACACTCAACAGATGGCAGTGATAGAAACCTGTTCTCCAAACACATTGACGTCCCTCGTGAACACATAGGAAAGCAATGCTCTGGCACTTGGACGAGGGCATGGGAGCTTGGAGTGCATCCTGGCCAGTGGGGTCCCTGTCTGGACATGGAAGGTCTACACAGTCCTCCAGTGCCTGGCTGTAGGGCATCCACAGAGTCCCTCATGCTCTTTCTCTCTGGAGAAGCAGGGCCCCTCGTGTGGCAAGCTTGGAGGGGTGGGGTGGAAAGGGCACAGCTGTGTGTGTGAGGAGGGCCAAGGTGCGGGAAGGAACACAGCCCAGAAGTTTTATTCGTCTGTAAACTGAAGCCACGGTTCTTTTCTCAGTGGCAAGCCTTGGGCCAAATCTTCTGCACATGTTACGGTATGACAGTGAGTTCAGGTTTAACATGTTAGGTACATAAGTCAGAGCTCAGTCACCCTTGACACGGTTCCAGGGCTCTGCTGCTCCTAGTTCCCCACTAGCATTAATCCAAATATTAGTCCTTGGTGAGCTCACTTGTGTTGGCTAGTCCTTTGTCAACCTGACACCATCTTGAGTCATTAGGAAAGAGGGATTTTCAACTGAGAAAACGGCACCATAACATTTGCCTGTAGGCTAGTTTGTAGCGCCTTTTTTTTTTTTTTTTTTTTTTTGATTAATGGTTGATGTGGGAGAGCCCGTCCCACTGTGCACGGTGTCACCCCTGGGTAGGCGGCATTGAGCTGTATAAGAAAGCAGACTGAGCCGTCAGGAGGACCAGGCCCACCAGCAGTGTTTCTCTGTGGCTTCTGCTTAAGTTCCTGCAGCCAGGCTCCTGCCTTGAGTTCCTGGCATCACCCTGTGATGGAGTGTGACCTGAGAGTTGTAACAACTTCTGAAACAAACCCTTTCCTCCTCAAATTGCCTTTGGACATGCTGTTTTAAGACAATAGAATCCCCAACCATGGACTATATCTCCTGTATGGAATATCTAGGCATAACATCTAGGCTCACTCTGAACTCTATAGAAATCTGCAGTACCTGCTCTGACACACTGAGGCACAAAACTCATACCTACTTATCTGACCCATCACTTAGAGCTCCACCTATAAGGATGGAGAGACATCTCCGTCCCATAGGATGTTTGGCTGCAAGCATGGGGATCTGAGTTTAGATCCCCATCACTCACGTAAAAGGCCAGGCATAGCAGCACATCTGTAACCCTCAGCATTGGTGTGGCGTAGTGTGTGTGTGGTGGGTGCGGGGAGCGTGCTGAAGCATGCTAAGCTTGCTAGTCTGGCTGAATAGGTAAAAGACCGGATCATCTCATGATCTTTCAATAAAATAGAGGGCTGTCAAGACAGCTCAGTGTGTAAAAGAATTGGCTACTAAGCCTGATAACCTGAGTCTGACCCCTGAGACCCACATTGTGGAAAGAGAGCACTGATTTCCTCTCTCTCTCTCTCTCTCTAAATAAGCAATTTAAAAGTGGCTAGAGTGATGGCTCAGTGGTGAAGAGTGTGTACTGCTGGTGCTGAAGACCCAAGTTCAGTTCTGGCAACTCGCAATGACCTGTAATTCCAGCTCCGGGGGACCTGACCTCCTCTTTTGACCTCTGCAAGGCCCTCATGTGCACATGGCCCATATGGACTCATGCACAAAAGTAAATATTAAAATAATTAACAAAAACATATGATGAAAATGTGATTGAAAAAGCCATACAACATTAATCTCTGAACACACACACACACACACTCACACACACACACACACACACATACTCATGGTAACTCACAGTTTAAATTGCTCCTTTATGAATATCACTCTGGATTTGAATAAAAGTTTTTTCCTATTTTAATTTAAACTTCAATTACTATTATTGTATGTGTGTGTTGGCATGCGTATTTTATTGGGGTTTCTTATACCTTCACCTCCCTTCCCAATCCCACTCCCTTCCTACACCAGAACATCAGGTAGGCAAGAAAGAAGGTCAGTGGAGAGAGGAGGCATAGGTCTCTTTAGCTACTTTCTGCTCATTAGAGTTGTTGGGTTCCTTAGGGGCAAGTCAAATCTTCATAGCCAGGATATCTTCAATGTCTCATAAAACCTCAACCACAGCAGCCAGGAGCAGCAGGGGGAGCACAGCCTCCTTCTTCCTTTGAGCCCCCATCTCTCTCTGGGCTCCGGCTCTTATCCCCTCTCAGAGTGCTCAGAATTAAACCATCTGCAGCTGATAAAGATCTCATGCAAGGCAAAAAGTCTGCTGCTGTGGATAGTCTGAAGCAGCTTCATATTCCACACCCAGGATTAAAGCAAACACCTGTTTACATGACATAACTGAGTTTCTAAAGACACCAAAACTTCAACTACATGGGAGAGAGACAGAGAGACAAAGAGAGACAGAGAGAGAGAGAGACAGACACACACAGAGAGACAGAAAGACAAAGAGACAGAAAGAATACAGCAGTGAAATGAGAGAAGAGCTTTTTGAGAGTCAGTTCTACCCTGTGGTTTGGGGACGCCCTTAGCCTTGTGTGGCAAGCCTCTTAACCATGCCGCTGGCCCCCAACAAAGGCTTTGGCTCAGGAGCACTCTCCTCCCAATGAACTCCAGCAGTTAGCCACATGCCCCTGTGGCTCTGCCAGGCATGTCACCCTCTGCTTGGGGACCTGCTAGCACTGCTGTGGTTCTGCTACTGTAACCTGGTACTGAGTCACCTCATGGGTCTCTTGTGAACAGCATCGTAAACCTGGCCTTCTTCATGGTCAGGAATCCCTGAGCTAACAGCTACCTTGATAAAGAAAATCCAGACAAAAGCCAGACAAGAGTCACAAAGGCAGCCTGGCCTTACATGCAAGTTTCCTGTTATAGGTTAGACCACCAGGCAGGAGACTTCACAACAAGGTGAAGGGAGGTCGCATGGAAAACAGATTGTGCCCATGACCGCAATGACTTGTGAGGACAGGGCTAGAGGCCATCCCTGTTCCAGTCTCCTTTACACCAGTTAGAAGAGAAACCACAACACATTCAGAGTTCCTCTGTCTAGCTTCTCCATAGATTCAAGCCCTGTGTCCAGTTAATGGATGAGAAACCTGAGCCTTGATAAAGCCAGGC